CTTATGTTTAAGACTTTTATCTTGAGCAGGGTCGGTGGTGAATGCCTTGAGAGGCAGAGTTAGAGGCAGGGGGATCTCTGTGAGTTTGGGGCCAGGCTGGTCTACAGAGTGAGTGTCAGGACTATGTAGAGAGACCCTGTTTCGATCCACCTCCGCCAAAGAAAGAGGACTTTAGTGTGATTTTCTTTAACATTTTTATAGTTCTGTGTTGAGCCCCCAAGTTCAGAAAGTTGATATTTGTTAGTTCTTCTATAAATGTATCTGGAGATCTATAATAAAGTATACCTGGGATGTTGGAGTGTACTGAGTCTCTCCTTTCTTTTCTCTCTTCCTTTATATCACCCTCCCTTCTCTCCTTACACTCCCTGGTCCCACATTTTCATTGGATTTTGAAACCAGGGTCTCATGAGTGCTAGATAACCAAACATTCTGCCACTGAGTCACAGACTCCTCACTGAATTTCTCAAAAAATTCTACAAAGGAAACACTAATCTTAGGGTCATGCTAGTTTTTAGGACAAGGACAAAAATTAATTCAAAGATTGTTTAGGGGGAAAAACCCTCTAATTTATTATGCGTTGTTGCCCAGAAAATACCCAGTTCAAGGCATATGAGATATATATGAACACAGTTTGATTTTTGTGAGGGCATACCAAACCACAAGCACTGGAATCAAACCTCTTCTGATTTTTATTTTCACAATGAAAATGTGAGTGACATGCCTCAAGCCAGTCCATGACTGAGGAGGGCTTGACTGCTTAGGGGTTGAGTTTGTTGAGGGGTCTTTGGTTGTTGGTACTTCGGTGTGATCAAGCCCTGAAGAACAGAGTCTGTCTCCAACAGAGTCTGTTTCATGGAGAAAACCAGTCAAGTGACAGCGAATCAATGTTATAGCTTCTCAAAAGGAGAGACCGTTGGCCTAACACCTTCCTAGCATGGTGTCACTGTCAACATGTTCAAGTCGGTTCTAGTGAGAGTTACCCTGGTGAAGTTTTTCAGGGAAGGATAAAGAACATTAAAAAAAAATGTGTGATGTTTGATGTTTTTTTTCTGAAGTATATGCTCTTTATCTTTCTAAGAAGCGGAGCTGTTTAAAAACAATAAGTCCTTCTTCTCTAAGGCACACAAATGAACAACAGTTTAGATCATCAACACAGTTTCATCCTAAAGATATCCCCACTTCTCGCCTGGTTTTAGCTGCTAGTGTTGATTTAGAGCAGAAAGGATGACTTCATATTTTATTCTAAGCATCAAAGTCTTCATGTGTTTTACAAATAACTCAGAAGAGCTTAAAGTCCACCAACCTTTGTATTCCTAATTTCTAATTCCTCTGTAAGTATGTATTTAAATTGGTTAAACAGATGGCTTTCTACTTGTGAGAAAAAATGGCAAGATTAGTCAACTCCTGATGGAGAGCCCAGGTTAAATTTCATTCTGGAGTGCACTTTTACAACCATGTATTTAACCTTTGAAAATGAGGGTACTTGAAACAAGGGAAAACTCAAGGTGATCTCACTGATACTGGTGTGGTGGACTCCTCTTAAGCAAAGATGCTCTAGAAGTTTAATAGTTACAGGCTTTGATAAATGGAAATGAAGTATAATTCAGGATCACACACAGGATCTTGTGCATTTCAGACATGTGCTTTACCACTGATTTATAACCCAGAAACCAACACCTTAAAATATTTAAAATATGCTAATTTTCAAAGCTTTCCAGTTTCTCCCTTTTATCTCAAAAACCGTAAGAGATAAACAAATTATTTGTTTGTAACTTTCGGAATTGACACTCAAGGGTCTGAATGCAGTTATGAAGCAGTCAATATGGATTTTGTTGATATTAAGAGAGTGTCTAATTGCACAGCCATTTTCAACCTGTAGAGTCTTCTCTTACTGTGCTTACACTTGGCTGAGGCCGAGAAGGAATGGATTAGTGAAGTTACCAGGAAGGAGATGAGAGGTAGAACATATAGGCAGTCATGATTATGTTTTGAGACGTCAAGCACTTTAAATTAACAAAATAAAGAGCCCACTGTGTTACAGAATGGACTGAACAAGTTTCTCTCCTGGGAGCCTGTGATAAAGCAATTTTGAAAGAGACCAATTTTGGAAAGGTAGAATTTGCGGGCACACAATAGGGGAATTCTGAGAAAACATCTTGATTCAGATAGATCTCTGTTTAAATTTTGTCTTCACTGTTCTCAGCTCTATAATCCGGGGGCGTTACTTAGATTCTGTAAGCACCTTCTATGAATGCAGACAACAGTGAAAATCCTTCTTTCAGTATTAAATGATGTAGCACATACTAGATGGTAACATTGTAGTTGTTCAATAAATGATAGCCTTTGCCATTTGAGAGAACATTTTGAATAAACAGAAGAAAGGGGGAATAGGCTGTATTTATGGGATAGTGAGAAGATTATGTATGGAGGAAAGGAATGTACCAGAGAAACAGAGTTGATGATGTAGAGAGATAAACTAGTTCTGGCTGAAATCATTCATTTTTTTCCCCTCACTAATATTGAGCTTATTTATGTCAAAAGTCTTCTGCTATACATGGAGGTGAATGTATAATAAGGAATACATTGCCTTGAAATTCTGTCAGGTGTCAAGAAACTGGGACTGTATGCTCATAACAATTCTTCAAGAAGGGAGGAGCCTGGGGGACTACTTGTTTTGGTAGTTTTCAGTGGTTAGCCCAGGATTTTGTTCTCATGATGTAAAATATAGAAACATTTGCTGTCTCCTAGAGACTGGGCATATATGCCATGCTGGGCGTGATCAGATCTCGCAGCTCATTCCTGTGGGAGACAATCCACTCAATTGTACGTGGAAGGGGGCTTGCATGCAGGCTTTTGTTTCAACCCTTGAAACAAAGCCCTGGCTTTGAACCGACTATCACACTTGCGGTGGAATCTCTAATTTAGTTTGGAATTTTCCATACACCCTACCGCCTTGGGGTCAGCTTGGTGATCATTAGGAAGTGGAACTCCAATAACTGTTTATTCCAATCTCAGGGGCAACACGGACATCTAGATGTCTCTATACCAGAGATGCTCTGATGATGAGCTGTGAGTAGACATTCCTACCTTGTTGGTAGAATTCTTCAACCAGAGGTCCTAAAACACACAAAACACTGGAAACATGCCCGAAGTTCTAGACTGAATGACTGAACATAGGCATTTTTTTTTTTTTTTTGATGAAGGTCCATTCGGACAGTTTCTAGATCTCACACAGGAGTTGCATCTTGCATGTCTTCACTTCTAGGTCTAACTATTCTTCTCTTTTCTTTCCCCATTAGGTCAGTAGAACCCAGAACACATAACAAACTCTTAGCATGGATTGGTCAACCACTAATTTCAGTGCCTAATTTCTCTTTTTTCGGAGTGAGTGCCACACACAGTTATAAGTCAGAATTGAACTCAAATTGCTCTTTAAGGTGATCATATTTTGGTTATCAGCTTATAAGGTGTCATTGGTGTCTAGGGCTCAAGACACAATGTAAGAGGAAGGTGTAACACCCTCCTACACACCAGCTTTATGACCGTTGTTATATACGATTTTATACCTGACTTTGATGCCCGCACACAGACATTGATCTAAACCGAGCTCAATTTATTCTCTTTTGGCGGCTGTTCAGTTCAGGTGGTTAGGGCACAAGCTAATGAGAGCAAGGTCACAGGTTCAATCTTTGTGTGGGCCAGCAAGGCTTGCTTTGTTCAGTGGCCACAGACTTGGTCCAGCCAGCTGTCTAGCATATGTCTGCCCCAGGTCATAAGAGGACAGGGCAGGCGTGTGTGGATGGACAAGACCAAATCCATTGCCAGCATTAGGGAAAGCCAAGCCAAGCACATGTCCTGCTAATGGGGGTCAATAATGTTTCATTTAAATGAAGTTGACGTTTTATTACCTCTTGCTGAGGAGGTCTTTTAAATGCCAAAGTTAAGGGCATTTGCGCATGTGTATGTGTGTGTTTGTGTGTGTGTGAATTCATTTCTAATAAATGAAAAGCTGTAGAAGTCCTGAGATGAATACAGGTTCCAATATATAGGTTAATGACTTATAAATATTTAAAATGTTGGATTAATGTTAATAAAAAGATAGTTCAGTCTGACAACATAATGACTTTCCTTCTTTCTTCAAATATGAACAGGTCAGTGACATTGAAAAAATAAAAACAAAACTGCTTCTTCAGGCAGTGGCTGAAAACCACTGATTTTGTTTAGGAATGAAAGCGTTTCCTTTTGTTGTGATGCTGAGGGTCAAATTAAGGTGCTCGTGCATGCCTAGCAAGTAGTCCATCACTGAGCTGCATTCTCCAACCCCCAAATGAAAATTTTAATTGAACTTTCTGTTAATCAAGCCATCACAGGCCAGCAGAACAGATATAATTAATTCTAACCCCCTAAATTTTTAGTGATTACTCAGACAACAGAATTTAGCTTTTATTTTTTTGGAGAACATGCCTTTTTATCAACTTCATTAGTTAACATTAAGGTTTGTTAGATTTCAAATTGGATCAAAACCAACTCTATTTCAAACTCTACTACCTTAGCTGTTTCCTGAAGCTGGGTCTCTTTGAGAACTGAACAAGTAATTTGATGTGGAAAAGGGGAGGACAGAGAGCAGAAGGAAATTCACCAAAAATCACTCATGAACTATCTTAGTCACATGAGTGGAGATATGTATCTTAAAAATTCTTTTGTAGGTAATCTAGTCATATGCGTTAAAAAATAAGAACGCAAAATGGTACATTGTCAAAAAAATTGCTTCTTCTCCTGCCTCCTACAACATCCAACTTTATCTACCTTCCTATTCAGCCATTTACTTTAATTTTTTTGTATTTTATTCCAGAAAATTGCCCCCAAAATATCTTAAACTCTTTTCTCTTTTATTTTATTTTTATTTTTTGAAGGTCTTCACTTTTTTTTATTCTTATGTAGGAAGACTGGCATTCATCTGTTTCACTGGGTAGAATCTTGAAGAATCCATTCAAGGTCGCTTAGTCCAACTTAATGAAACCGTTGTCCTTCGTGTACTGCTGGAAACACTGGCGGCACATGTTCAGCCTGTATTTCCAGATCAGACTGTGGTGGTTTGAGCAGACGCAGCAGGAGCGGGATCCCTGGCCGAACTTCCTAGGGTGACTCCAGTAGAGCAGCTGGTGACCCATGTTGCCTCACTGACGGCTGACGAGCCAAAAGCCTCTTTCCTCTTTTAATAGAAGGAACACACTGCACACATAGTTCTTAACTTTTATTTTTCTACTTAATTATATAACTAGAAAATCTTTCATTGAACAGAGTGGCTTCATTTTCATAGTTGTACGTTCTTCTGTTGAGTTGATGGACTACAACTTATTTGATTCCCTAATGATTAACCTTGGTGTATTTTCTGCTGTAGAAAAGAATATAATTAATTTCTTTGGGATAGAATTAATTTCTTTGGAATATATAGAAAGCATTTTTATCTTTCAAAATATTTGCATAGCATTCCTTTGAGTGATACCATGATTTATTTATTTATCCCCTTACTGATGGAGCAGCTTGCTTCTGCAATCATACTACTTGTTATATTTTTCTAAGAAGAAAAATATTAATTTTTTAAAATGTACATGTGTCTCAGTTAGGGTTTCTGTTGCTGTGAAGACACCATGACCATGGTAACTCTTATAAAAGAAAACATTTAATTGGGGCTGGCTTACAGTTTAGAGGGTTAGTTCATTATCATCAAACTGGAACATGGTATCATGCAGGCAGACGTGCAGGCGGCATGGTGCTGGAGAAGGAGCTGAGAATTCTACATCTTAATCTGAAGGTCGCAAGAAGTCACTGGGTGTAGCTTGAGCATAAGAGACCTGAAAGCCCACCCAAAAGTAACACATTTCTTCCAAGAAGACCATACCTACTATAACAGAACCATACATTCTAATAGTGCCACTCCCTTTGGGGCCATTGTCTTTCAAACCACTACAATGTTTTATGTGCTACATATGAATTATGACAATTAAAACTGGCAATGCAATGTGAATAATATGCTGAGCTAAAGCTGCCTGGATGTAATGATAGAAAAATGACATGGAAATGTGAGTTCATGAACACACTGAACTGGAATAGTCAGTTGTAAACAGTTTTCGGTTGTCATTTTCAGATACATTCTTTGCTAATTTTGGGGAAAAGCTCTATCACTATGATAGAAATCTTATGAGAAGGTAAGTTAGTGATAAAAATGCTGATTCATATCGGTACACACAATGTACAGAAAGTACTACTTACAGATTATTGTATTTGAATCCAGTCACATATGTTATCAAGGATTGCAGGATTTATTGTAGACGAATAAATGGAAAAGAAGGGGCACACCAGAGAGTATGGCCTAAAAGCATGGCTGAAAATAGTTCTCCCTTGCTCTGAAGTTACCATAGCGTTGGGCATTTACTACTACAAGTGACCAGGTAATTCCTTTTAATGAGAGGAGATTTAAGGGAGCCCTGGATGAAAGACTGAGTAAATGAGAGACACTATGAGTATTTGCCGCTTTTGATGTTGTAGCTCATTGTAAAGCTATTCAGGCATACATCCAAAAATCTATTCGTTTGTTCATGAATACATTTATTTACTTTATTAGTTTATTCATTCCTAGTCAGAGGTAATACTGTTTTGGCTATAAGTATACTACTTATTGTGCTAACAGCTGGAAAATGAACTACAAGATACAGGTCGTATCGTATCATCTTGGAAAGGAACTAATCAATGGGTAGGAGTGTAGGCGGATTGCCTCTTGATTGACATAAGGTGCCTGGCAGCTTCAAGGGAGGGCAACATGCTTTCATTAGGTAAGTGACAATGGCATTTGTCCTGGAGAACAAAGCAAGTGGAGCAAGACAAGCAATATAATAACAGAGTTGGTTCCTAATATGGTGATTTATTGGGCGGTAATGTTGGTGGTTTCATTTAGGGAACAGTCAGTCGGAAGCTGGCGAAGGGAACACTGCCTGCCAACTTTGCACAGGGCTAGAACTTGCACCCCACACAATCTGGTTCCACGTTGTCCACTGGTGGCGAGTGGCCTGTTGGGCAGGTAACCTGTGTCTCTCCAGATGGACACAAAGGATGGATTCTTCACTTTGCTAGTATTCCAAATGCTCTTCCGTTCATAGCTTACTCTGCACCTCACTTCAACAAGTGAGGAACGCAGAACAAGGTCAGTGCACCTCATGGGAATTTCCATGGGAAGGGTGGGTCCCACTCTTCTGGTTTTCTGTTTGCTGCTTGTAATCATGCTACTTGGTGTATTTTTTTTTTTTAGAGAAAAGAATATTTGTAAGTGACTTTTTCAAAAATGCACATTTTATGTGTCATATATGAATTATAACAGTTAAAACTAGTGATGCAATAAAAATAATCTGTCTAATAGAAGCTAATTGGATTGATTGGTACATCTCAGAAGGACAATGCTGGTATTTAAGATATCACTGTAGTCTAGTTTTATTCAATTAAACTTTGGTATCAATAGAAATCTGAACCCAAGGGGGCTGGAGAGATGGCTCAGCAGTTAAGAGCATTGCCTGCTCTTTCAAAGGTCCTGAGTTCAATTCCCAGCAACCACATGGTGGCTCACAACCATCTGTAATGAGGTCTGGTGCCCTCTTCTGAACTTCAGGCATACACACAGACAGAATATTGTATACATAATAAATAAATATTCTTTAAAAAAGAAATCTGAATCCAAATAATTCTGTTATTCCAATATAGTAGCCACTAGTCACATGTAGACACTGAGCACTTGAAATGGAGATCATGCAAATGAGCAAGTGGACTTTAAATTTTGTTTAATTTAAAATATCTTAGATTTGACTTTAAGTGACCCATATGAACTAGCTTCTGCTCAGTGAAGCTTTTTTTTTGAAACAAACAGAATCATAGCATTTAAGCATTAGACTAGAGCTTAAAGTTTGCCACGTGTGGCACTGTGATTTTACCTGTGAGGAGACTAAATTCTAGAAAGTGAAAGACTTTATTCAAGAGTACATGCGTAATAATAAGCAGACAGGAGCTCGGCTTTGCCATCTTTTGACTCTCTGCTGGATGACCACAATTCTGCTATCCTGCCTTCACACTTATGCCTGCAGGACTGTGGCTAGACTCAGTGAAAGATGGTTGATTTGTAGCTTAAAAGGTAAAGCCATGCATAGATAGATCCACAAAACATCCGTCTGTGAGATCTTTGCTAGATATGGTATAAGGTGACAAAAACAGAAAGGAGGTTTCTGGAGGGAAGGGTTTTCAAAATGACATAAAGGGCCTACAGATTATTTGGGAAAACAGAATAGAAGTAGGTTGTACGAACAACTATATCTTCACCATGCTCCCCTCCCCAGTATAAAGTATATATGTTGTTGGTACAAAGTAGTCCATATGGGCCAGGTGAGCAGACCTCAGACTGAACAGTAAAAATTTAGGAAACAGCTAAGGGTAAGCTGTCTGGGAGAGCCTCAGAGATAAAGCAAGGCTTAATCTCCCCCTCCTTTATAGCTGAGGATCAACCAAGACATGACCTATGTTCTCATTCTATATTAAAGTGTCTCGTATAAGGACTGGAGCAATAGATGGTTCAGCATTGTGTATGCACAACTTGACATAAATACAACCCGCTGAGGCTGTTTTTGTTGTTTGTATATAGTTTCAAGGCTGACCACTCTGCATTAGACAAGCAGTCCCTTAGTTGACTAATTTTTGAGATATTCTGTCATCCAGGATGATCTACATGGCCACCATGGATCCCACGATGGCCTAAAGTTCTTGACAGTTCTCCTGCCTCAGCACCTGTCAGTGCTGGAATCATAGATGTGAACAACCACGTCCCGCTCCATAGCTGATTTTTTACTTTTGCTTTCTATATTTGTACATGTTGATTTACGTAGCTATCTTGTCTAAAGTCGTAAAACATAAATAGAAAGTAGTTTCATTTCAGAATTGTTTTCCTGTAGGCTGGCAATTGAATAAGCTCAATTGTATTAAACTGTGATTCTTAGCCACAGAAAGGTAAACAACCGTGTTAAGAATCAGGAGGAAGGAACTAGTTACTACAATTCTTTAAGGATAGCTGGGAGATCAGAGTTTCACTTGACTTGCTGCAGCCTTAACCTAGTACTGCATGACCAGATCTCCAGAGATATTTCCCCCAGTTTAGTCTAGATAAATGAGTGTCTTGTGTTCATAGAACATTCCAAAGAGTCAACAGAATGAAACAGAAAGTGTTAGACTCATGTCTGTGTTTGGTAAGGAAGGCATAGACGGAAATAAAATGGGGAAGAGGTTTCCTCTCATCTGTACTTGAAGTCCTTTTGAGAATGTGTTATAATGTTTTTTTTTTTAGCTTTTATCATTTATAAGGGGAAGTTACATTATGTGTATTTTTTCTTCTCCTTTCTTTCTTTCTTTCTTTCTTTCTTTCTTTCTTTCTTTCTTTCTTTCTTTCTTTCTTTCTTTCTTTTTCTCAAGACAGGGTTTCACTGTACTTTTAGAGCCTGTCCTGGAACTAGCTCTTGTAGACCAGGCTGGCCTCAAACTCACAGAGATCCACCTGCCTCTGTCTCCCAAGTGCTGGGATTAAAGACATGCACCACCGCCACCCGGCTTCATTATGTGTATTTGTATCCATCTAGGCCAAGAAAAAGAACTGAAAATACATCTTTGTCTTATACCCCCATTGTGAAACCTCCTTTTTTTCCTTTTTGCAAATATCTAGTTTTAAAGCTATTTACCCAGTTAATATTAGTTAGAACATTGAGTGATGTTTTTTCTTATTTACATTTATTTATTTTGAGATAAGGATTTGCTATGTTGCCCAGGATATCTTTAAAGCTCCCATCCTTCTGCTTCAGCATCTCAAGTGCTGGTACTTTTGACATTCACCAGCACCCTTGAGTCTTATTATTGTGTTTTAATTAAAAATTTTATTTTATGTGTATGGGTGTTTTCCCTGCATTGTATGCTTGTGCAAACCATGCACAGTTGGTGCTCACTAAGGTCAGAATAGGACATTCAGATCCTTTGGACCCGAATTACAGACAGTTGTGAACAAACTTGGATACTGGGAAGCAAACCCAGGTCTTCTGGAAGAGCAGCCCATGGTCTCAGCCTCCTGGTCATCTCTCTAGCCTGTGAACTG